AAAGCCTACCCTTTTTGGAATACCTTCCACTGGGACCGGCATTTAACAGATGAACTTCGAAATGGATTCGCTGTAAATAACTTACGTCAAAACTTCCTCAATTGTGTATATCCTCTATGTAACATTTTCCGAGCTGAACGGCTCGAAGTTTCTCATGCTGATCCATTTTGAGAAAACTGATGTCATTTTCTGTTTTCAGAAGCAAAGATGTTGTTACGAACATTTGTTTTTGGAACCTGCTCATATAACTACCGAAAAAGAAGTATCGCTTTCATGAAAACTTCGAAACTTTTTTGCTTTCGTACAGATTTCCCTTTAAATGAGAAGAACGGTGATCCGCGTCCAACCTTTGTTGGTGGCACCTTCGTTTCATCACTTCATTTCTCGCTGTATGCGCTCTCTTCGAAGTCTATAAATACAAATTTTGTCGATCTCTTGATTACAATGAGGCAATTGTCTCCTTCGATTTTGTGCCGAGTAAGTGGCTAGAATATGGAGAAGGTTCCTTTTATTAGGGTCGTAGGTGAATTTGTTAGGATGAAGCTAAATCCCAGCAAGGTAGGGCAAGTTTTCGAGGTGACTTTACTGTAGAGTGCGTTTCCGTAATGTGAACTTCCGAAATGAGCATAAAATTGATGACTACCGCCTCCTAGAAAATCGATGTAGATGGCAAGCTTGGGAAACAGAGGGCTACACAAAATCTTTTCTTAATAATTCTTTTCCAGCATTTCTTTGAGATCTCAGAGCATTCTCTCAGTATGCGGTCTGTTTTGCAATACTCTTAGCAGAAAGGGTTACCGTAGCCTTCATCACTGCCTCTTATGAAAACCAGAAAAGAGCTGATCAGTAAGAAAAAGGGCTGAGAAACAAAACGTAGGTAGGTTGACAGCTTTTATAATCTACGACTTCATGATTCTTTTTGCCGCTCTCGTTACGTTTTCGACATAGAATCAGTTTCCAAAAATTCGGAGTATGCAATTTGCTTCACGAAAATGAGTGGTATCCGTTGCGGAGAATGAATATGCATCGAGTTGCGTATTGCTTGTGCGCTATTGGACCGACCCATTTTTCAGCTACATATTGTACAGTTACTGTGTTTCACTGCTTTTGCGTAACAAAATTGGACATCCATATGAATTGCTACCTCATCCATAGTGCTTTTTTTCCATCGTTGTCATTTGAGGCCTGATTTTACTAAGTTTTCGAGACAAGTCAGGTTATTCCGGTGCTGCTTTTTTGCTTTATAAATACAGGGTGGACCAAAATTATGATTACACAGAAATCACATCGCAGAAAACGAATAGAAAGCCAATAGAGCAAACCAATTCCATTAAAGGGTTTAGCACAAATTTCTTATCAAAACTGTACATTGAGACTGGGATGTGTTGCTTTCTGCTTTCACCCAACCCCAAAGATGACGATGGACGGCATTGACGGTGGCGCGCA